TGCTGTATTTAATTATGAACTCCAGCATGTTCTTGTAACAGTTCATAGGTTTCCATCTGAAAGGTAAGGGTGGAGGGGCACAGTTCAGTTTGATGTGCCTGTGAATCTGACGATTTATTCTGATTTGTGTTTATACAAACCTTCCTGTGTGTGTTTGTGCCTTAGTTCTCATGGTGGGGTACCTGAGTGCTTAATCCATGTCAGAGAAACATGGAACAAGGCATTTAAAATAGTCAGATGGTCACTTCTTGACTGTCACCCTGTGACGTTTCCTGATGCTTCCCATTTGCTAATCTTTCTCTTCGCCCCCCAGCAAGGCTTGGAAGTGAAATACTTTACTTGTTAGTGTGGTTTACTTCATTTCAGAGCTCTGCCTTATCTGAGAAGAAGGGGGTACAGCTGCTAACGCCAAGCAACAGCGGTGCTCCCTGGTGTGGGCAAGTACCCATCTAATCCACACTGCGGAGCACCCATGGGACAGTGCTGTTGTCCAACCACAGTGCCTATCAGACCTTGTCCATCAACCGTGGGCAGGGGACCTGGCAGTGGTGCCAGCATAGCAACATAGCCACACTGTCCCCTATGCTAGTGGGTGGCCAGAAATTGGCCCCCCTGGCTCATGCCCAGAGCCTGTACCTCTCTTCAGTGCCTTCTTCCTATGTATTGGATCCTACTCACTGTACACGGGATGCTGTGCAGGGATGGGTCTGGCCTTTAAATCCTGAACCACCGAACATACCCACATGCCTCCTTTGTAACACCGAGCTCTTTGCTAACAGCCCATTTCCCCCCCTTCAGAGAGGGAACTGGACACTAACTCCCTGTGGAGGCAGAGTCTTGCAGAAGTAACGCTCAGCAGAGATGGGCACTGGAGGCTGAGCGATGTGTCTGGAAGACACGGGAGCATGTCTACCCTCCACCCTGTTGCACTTTTTCTTCCCTCTTCACAAAGATAGCAGTTGTTGGGGAGGGTCTGCCCAGAGGCCAGAAGGTAGTTCAAGGTGTTTCTTCCCAGTGTCCCAATTTTCCATACAACACTTGCCCATCCCCTGTCTGTGAGAAGATTGTTCTCCAAGTGCAATATCATCATCTTTACTTAGGATGGTGGCATTGTACTAGCATCCTAAGTGGTCTGAGGGTGAGGGAGGGCTCAGGTATATCTGCAGTGGGTGGGAAGCAACACCAGGGTATGGTGGGCAGCACCCCTCTCCCCAGGGCTGAGCATGCCCTATACAGGACAAGTGGTTGAATACCCCAAGCAGGCCTGTGGGGTGGTGGAGGCAAACACCCCACCATGCTAGAGAATGAAGGGGAGGAAAAGCCCAGTCTTTCCCCGCAGCTGCCCAACACAGGGGCAGGGAGGTACAGGCACTGTGATTTCTCACCAGGCTTCCCCAGGCACATCCCAGGACCTCTAAAAGAAATTTACATCTCTGATTTATCTCAGCTGAGTTGAACAAATGTGATTAAAAATTCTTGTTAAATGTCAGGCTGATTTGTAGGAACTGAGATTAGCTGGACACGTGGCAACTTAGTGGGAAATCAACAGCTGATTACTTACGTTTGAGTGTCAGTCATTTTATAGCATGTCCTTATGAGCAGCAGGGCAGGAAGGAGTGAAACCAGTCTCACCCACACAGAAGAGTAGTAGTTTAACTCGCTAGAAAAACATGTTTCTAGCACAGGATAAGGTGATCAGTGCCAGATGAATTTTATAGTGCAAGCGCTGTGTCCACTGGGAATAGACTGTATCAAAATAAACATGTGCAACCTTTCTTCTGGAGAGTCCCTGGAGCGAGCTGGCACTCTGCCTGAATTACTTCTTTCCCAAGCAACTATTCATTGTATGAATGAATGTGGGGGGCATGTTTGTGCTGTAATTCTCCATCTGATAACCAAGCTAGGGGTACACAGTTAACAGTTTTAGCTAGTCTTTTGTTTCCAAAATGCCACTTTCCCTGCTTGCGGATATGCATCTTTCTGGGTATCTGTCCGAGTACCACCCTGATGGGAATATGTGAGCTTTCTCCTCCTTATTCCAGGTGGTTCCCATAATTTTGAGTGATAGAGTCTTCACTTCTTTTTGATAATGATGATATTAATGAAGCTCCAAATGTAACTGTCACTGTTAAATACTCCATTGGCAGGAGTTACATCATGTGGTGTTGTTACCCATAGATTTCCAAATTCTCTTTGGAAAGAGAGAGTAGATTTCCAGTTTGCTCTTTGGGACTCTCCCACCTGAGGGACTGGGAGGATAACCTAAAGCAAGCATATTGCACTAAGCACATATCTAAGCTCCGTGCCATGGGTTTCTCTTGCAGGTGTAAGCCAGCATCTGGTGTGGCTCAAGAGAGGGATGGCAGCACTGGTTTGCAGCAGTTGCATACTCTGCTGTATCTACTTTATTGAGAATAGTTTTAATTTCATGTGGTACATATGTACTGGCAAACACTGTCAGCAATGCTTACGATGCTCTGGAGGTTTTACTGTGTGAACAAACAAAAGCAAAATGACAATTAGATATTGTCTAACATTACCAACAGCACAGCAGGTCCAGAATTTCATGTCAGTCAGTGAGAAACCTTGTTTACTGGAAGCTGGCCATGAATTGCTTTACAGATCTAGCCAAATCCTTGGCAGAACGGACCAGTTAGACCTGTTGCTCTTTCATAAGGGTAGAGGCTTCCTGGCAGTGCAATTCCTTGACAGTTTATAGGATACAGCTGTAGGAAGCCCCTTTCCATTGGGTATGTTGTGCCCTTCCAAAACAGCCGGAGCTGCACAGCACTGATGCTGACTGCCCCATCCACCCCTATCCTTCCTCAGAGCCACCCAGAGCTCTTGTTCCGATATCCTTGCTTCCGACTGGGAATCTGTTACAACCAGAGGAGGCCTTGGTGCAGCAGAGGAAGACCTTCAAGGATTCAGAGAAAGTGACTTCTGCTGACACTGCCCCACTTTGCTTGTCATACCCTAGATTCAACAAGGGTGCACACAACAGAGCATTTTGAGCAAAGGTCTAGCAAAGAAAGGCAGCAAAATCCTAAATGCTAACCCTAATCATATTACTGATGCCTTCTTTATTCTTGAATAACATAGGTGAACATTTTCATTGCAGTAAGTGAGCAAATAACAACAAAAAACATGGAATTTTGTCACTACATTTTATCCTGAATTATTTGAAAACACATTTGTTGGGCTAGCAGTCTGATTCTGGACTGGGCAAGTAACCACTTAAAGTATTTGTAAAACACTGGTGAATAAAATTTAACTGGGTCTATAAATTTTCCAAATCTAAAATATGGATTGTGATATGGCTGACTTGGCTGGTTTGCAAGGCCAAATAAACACCTGAAAAAGCACTTAAAAACTACATGGTATTATTTGTTATTTTGTTCTGTATAATAGAATTCAGGAATTTAAATTTGACTGAAAAAGCCAGTCCCTCGGCCTTCATATTTCCTCTTTATGCTCTTCCATCAGTGAGCTGAATGCCATGAATTAGTAGCTTTACCCTCCAATCAGTGACCCGTGGCTTTAATTCCTCATTGCTCATATATTCGATAAAAAATAAGGGTAGTTTCATGTTCTTAGCTAACTGTTGAGTAATGAGCAGGTGGAATATTAGTGTAAGAGAACTAGTAGAAAGAGGGAATTTGTCCACTGTTCTTACTATCAATAAGTTTTCACTCCTGTTTTTTTCACAAAATGTTCTTTAAACAGGCAAATTTCTGTGTGACTCATATGTAGAAAATACCATGGGCTTAAATAATGCATAGCAATTAACTTCTCTCCTCCCCTCTCCAATTTTATTTGTGTCTTACATGTTGAGGACTCATTAAATGAGAAACATTGATTTTTGAAATCGAGTGTTATCATTGCCTGTCATTACACCGCTGCTTTGAAAATGACGCTTTGACAGTATCCAGGGTTTGTAGCAGCATCGGGCTGCCAGTTTGGAAAATATTTGTGTGGGATGCAGCAGCACGCGGCTTTCGTGCCTGGCATGGGCACAAGGTGCTGTGAGAGGCTGCAGCAGCACAGGGCTTCCTCCTCAGGCTGAAGTTGTTACAGCTCAAGCATCACTTTCTCGTAAGACCATGGACAAAAGGAGGCTGGGCAGTGAGCTGGTGACAAGTGTTTCTGAGGCTGGGCTGCTCTTGTATTTTTCCCTTTGCCTCTACACAAATCTACTTGATTTACCAAATTTACCCTCTTTTACTCTGTGGCCTTATGAACTCATCTTGTGCTCAGCATACTTTCTCCTTACAGCTCCAACTGCTGGAGCAATTGGAATGTAAACCTGATGGCAGGTCACAACATTTTGGTGAAGATTAGCAAAAAGAGTGACCGGGATGGTGCAGTCCCCATGCTCGGTGCCAGCACCACCAGGCAGGCGGTCTGTCTGGGCTACAGGGAGGTTTTTTCACAGTGCAGCTTAGGCACTGGGATTTATGACGACACTTTCAATTTGGGGTGTAATTCAGCAGAGACTACTGTCTCTTTTGGCTTTGGGTCAGGGCCCATAGAGGAGGGCAAAGAGCCTCCCAGTAGGAAGCTCCACCTGAGAAGTCAGAGTGATGCTGGCTGTTGCACTGGGGATGGTTTTGGGGGGAACATGGGGGCACTGAAAATGCCTTTTTAATTTGCACAGACCCCAGGGTTCATCCAGCCTGCAAGTCTGTAGAGAGTAACCTCCATATGAAAAAATCCACCAAGAGTGGCTGTTTTTGTACTGTGCTGGCACACTATGTTGCGCCTGGGAGCCTTGATCCTTGGCTGGAGCCCCTAAGGCTAGCGTGACGCTCAGGAATAACATTATTCACAATGTATGTTTCCTAAAATCAAGGACTGTGGCATAAAGCACTGCTGACACATTTATCTGACCTGGATATCATCACTCTGTTATTAAAACGAAATAGAGCAACTCTGAGATTAACCTGCAAGTAGAGCTAACAAAATGACAATTCTTAATGATTCTCACATTCCTTCCACAGAAAAAACTGCTTAGACAATCTAATGGATGAAGATGAGAAAGACAGGGCAAAGAGGTGAGCACTTTTTCTTTTATAACTTTCTGTTTAACTTGTGATGAGCTTGATACTGTTTGCTGCTGCAGAAGCTGTTTTATCCATAATCAATTAATCAAAGAGAGAGAGAGTAAAATACAGCCAAACACAACTTGAAAAACTGCCATCTCACAGATTCCTAGTCTTGGATACCCTGTAAGAAGCCAGTAACGTAGCAATGTTTCCTGTGGCAAATGACGAAAAAGCCAAGGCATTGATTGTTTTCTTCACACTACTGCAGAACATGAGAACTGAAGAACCAGCAACATACTCCTGCCACTATAACACATCATCTAAGCTTTCCGAGTGTATAAAAATGTGAGGTTTTTTACCAAAAAAAAAAAAAAAGTTCTGCAAAAGAAAAAAGAACTAAAAAAGTGGTGTTTTTTCCCAATTATGATGGTCATTTATTCAGCAATGCCTGTCTCACAGTAATGAAAACACCCAGAATTTACCTTCAGAGCAGAGAAAGACCACAAGAAGTGCTGTGTAAGCCCTAAACTGGCACAAACCTTTATTCACATACATTCTGCACTCCATCATCAAGTCCTCGTTGACGGGAAACTGTTGTGAACACTTTGTGGGGAGCGAAAGGGTGCATGTCAACGCAAAAGACCTGTGGCAATAAAACTCTTAATAACTGTCAGATCTGACTGGCATCTGCAGAAAAGCTGTTTGGAAGCATTTGAGGGTTGGTGGTTTTTTTTTTTCTGGATGCGTTATCAATACCGCAGCCTTCAGTTTAATTGCTTTACAGGGAGCCGTGGGTTGCCCGCATTTTTCCCTTTGCTTCCCTCTAATGAGAGTATTTCCAGTCCAGGCACAACTAGTTGATCCAGTTTCATCTCTTTTGATTCCTTCTCTGCTTCTTTCCTCCCCGCAGCTTGTTCTCACCAATATAGGTCAGCGCAGGCTGCAACCGAGCTCAACCGTTCCCCTTTGCTCCCTCCTCTTAACATCTGCATGCCCAGGCTGGGAGCAAAGCGCTGACCTAACTGCCTCTCCTTAGGTCTGCGAGGGGTGATCCGCTGAGGCTGCCGCTCTTCACGGGGGGCTTCTTGCCCAGGAGAGGGCCGGGATGGGGTACGGCTTTGCGTGCAGCTCTGCCCAACCGTCTGGCAACGGGGCAGGCACCTGAGGCCAGGGGAAGAGGTGGATTCAGGGAAGGGATGCCTCCTGCCACCACGCCGCATCACAAAGGGATGGCTCTTTGGAGAGGGCATCGCACAGGGAGGGGTGTCACGCTTCCCCAGAGCCCTGGGACCAGGGAAGGAGGGAGCAGGGGAAGGGAGCCCACCTTGCATCACACTGCTTCACACGCTTACCACCTGATTGTCTTCCAGATATTTGTGTGCTAATTGTTGGTTTGTTTTTTTTAAAAAAAAAAAAAAAATGTTGCATTAAATGAATGCGTATAGGACAAAAATACGGTAACACGTATCCTTGTTATCAGCGATTGCCATCGCCATCTGGTATGGTTTTCATGCCGTTTATTCCTGGAGGGAATTTTTGTCATACCCTGGGGCAGGCCTCTACCAATGTGGTTAAAAAACCCGATAACTTTGAAAATGAAAAAAAGGAAATTTCTTTAGATTGTAATTTAAGTACATTTTGCTTTTCAGAAAGAAATCTAATTTTTAAATTAAGTTTGAAATCATGAGAGGCTTCATGAAAGTCTGAAGTTACTACAGTATACTAAAACCATCCAGATTTATTTAAAAGCTACAGGTTTTCTTACAAAGCTTTAAAGAGAGTCCAACTTGAGAGAAGCCATTGGCTGAATATTTTGCTGTTGTGTCTTGAAAACTGAAGACTCTCATCTGTCCCGTGCTGCAGGGGAAACGCTTTCTTTGTTTTTTTCTGTTCAGTATAAGGACTGGGTCCCTCAGTGCTGAGAAATGTGAGAGGAGATAAAAAAGCCAAGAAAATTGTTCTCTTCCTTCATTTTCTGTGTTAAAAGTAGGTGCGACTGGAAATTTTGGATCTAACTCTTTGGGGATGGACCCAAGCCAGGAGCTGGGTTTCTCAGGTTAGAGACACACACACATACCATTTCCTATCATCTGCTGCAATTTATTAGGCACATACAGGTTGTACTATACAGGCATGAGAAGAGGAGAGGCACCTACACTCCCACCCCTGCTCCAAGTGTTTAGTATTTGGCCAGGATGTATAGCTCTTCCTACAGGACACTGGGTGTTTTGAGCCCCATTCTGCATCCTCAGACTGCCTAAGGCACTGCTTCACTCCAAAGGCCTGAGGACTAAATATGGTTACGATGGCAGCACACTTTGAGGTCTTCTGGCGATCAGAAACCATCGTTTCGTTTTCAATTCTTTAATGTTAGACAAGGCTTGCTTTGTTTTACAGATTTATTAGTTTTAAACAAAAAGCATGCTTTGTGCACTTTCTCTATCTGCTTTTCTTTTAGTTTGCTTTAATAGTAAATTATTCTAAAGTATTTTTTTTGCGATTCAATTGAATTCCAAATTGCAGACAAAACCAGCTTGAAGCGAACCAGTAAGTGGTTAATAAATAAGGACTATCACCTGTCATTTTCCACTCTAATAAAAAGTGAATTTAAGAATCTGAATGAAGGTATGTGGTAGGGTTACTTGCTTTGATGCATATATAGCATATCCCACTGGACAGCAAAAAGAAATATGAAATTTAGTGTAAAGCCACATTTCATTGTAAATCAGCAAGATGCGATACCTACTAGTCAGCAAGTATCAGTCTCTCTTTAAGAAAATAAGCAGCAAACATATAAGAGAATGAAAATGGCTATTTGGAACACATTTTAAATGGGTGGTTTTGATCGTTCTGAATTCAAGCTGTTCTGCATTGCCTTTAGCTGTATTCACTAAAAATCCAGATTTTATTCATACTGTATCTCCTTCTTCCCCTTAGATATGCGGTATTTTTTTTTTTGAGTAGTGAGGAGGGAGGAGAACTGGGACGAGTAGTATGGAATAAAGACAGAGACTGTTTTGGCTTACTGTAAATGATAGGCCCTAGCAGTGATGTAAGCAAGGCTAGGGAATAATCTTCCAAGGGAAGTGATGAAAACTGCATTATTTAAGACATTTACAACTGGACTGAACAAAGCATTTACAATTGTGCAGCGATAGTTTAGATAACCTAATTGTGGTTTTTTTCTCATTTTTTTTTCCTTTTTAAGATTTTACTGTGATCATCTATCCAGATCTTTGTAGACTTATTTCCACTAGAGGAGTTTTTGTATTTCCTTTGTGAATAAAATGTCAAGTGTTAAAAATAGATTCTTTATATTTCTGTAAAGGCATCTTTTTTTTTTTTTTTTTTAAAAAAAAAAGGCAGTACTTTCCCTATAGACAGTTTGTGTTTTGTTTTATTTTCAGGGCGATCAAGACCCTTTGAGCTTAAAATGAACTGAGGATTGAATTATGAGGAAGTAAATTGTTGATGTTCCTAACGTCCCCTTGAACTGTACAGAAATAGGATAAGGCTGGAGCTTTTCGCATCTTGTTCTGACAGTCTTTTGCGCTGTAGTAAGAACAGGCTGAAATCAGTCAGGCAGTATCCACCCAATCTCTTGTGTTCAGAGCTGTAAAATAATCAAGTTTTGGCTTCTATCCAGTATATCTCCAAGTGTGTTCAGGGTTGAGAGCAAGACAAACAAAAATTACCCCTCTGTCAGTAGTAACATCCAGAAGCCTCTGCAGTGATTTCTCTGCTGAAAATATTTATTGCCATCCTGGTCCTTGGGGGGGATGTAGATGCTGGGCTAAATTTTGCTCTGATTTTCAGTAGTGTGCATCCAGAGCTGCTTATGAGGTACAGCAGAGTTAGCTGGGACTGAGAAACTCAGAGTGAGAACTGGCCTCTTGGCTTTTCTTTCTTGTCTACATGTAACCATATTTTTAGATCTTTACATAATGAACAAGGCAAATCTTGTCTGTTTGAGAACCTTTCAGAACAACAAACAAACCTTCTGGGTTATATTTATTCCTATTTTCACATGGCTGTAGAAATTTTGGTGATACCCTCCAAGCAGAATATTTGTTGGATTCATGGGAACAATTCAGAAAACACTTGGTCATGTATAGGTTGACATCTAATTAAAAAAAAAAAATAGTTTGTATGCTAAAAAGGTTATCAACAGCCTTAATGACAGTATTATGATGGTGCCAAAACACCCCAGATTAAAGCAGGTCCTTTCGTCCTATGAGCTCTTCAAACAGAGCAGCAGAAGCAGGCTCTCTCCAAGGCATCTGCAAGCTGCAGAGACAAGACTGGTGAAGAAAGCTGCATACTCCCCATTTTACACCTTAAGAGTCAGGACACAGTGACCTTAAGTAATTTTCTCAGTGGCACACAGAAATTAGGGGCAAGTAGGGAACCCCTGCTAGCACTTCTGAGCCCCCAGGTCCATGGTGGGATGAGACGTGCTGATGCCCTCCCTCCTGCTTGCCCTTGTCACCTTGGAAGGGAGACTGAACTAGATGGCATATGAACTAGATGGGAGCTGCAGCAACCTTTACTCAGGTCCCTGACCTTAATGACTGGAAGACAACAGCCTGATTCCTCTCTGTAAGCCAGCTTGGAGGTAGCCAGAGGACCGGTGACCAAAGTGAGCAGGTCCCACTAGGTGGACCCAGCTCCAGCTGAGCTGGAGGACCAGGGTCCCCGTCTCCTGTTAGGACTGCACAGATGGGTATGATCCATTTTTTTTACCAGTGCCCACTCTTCTCCCTTATGGACGATTTTGCTGTTGTCACAATATTCCTATTTCTTCTTGCTCTGAGTACCTTCTCAGAGGCTGCATGAACTTTCAAGGTCCTGTGCATGCCTAGGAGATGGACAGAGCTCCTTCACCTACAAGCTTAATGCTGACCTGATAAGCTCAACTTGAGTGTCTAGAGGTAGCAAGAGGGGCAAGCAGAGCCTCCATCTCCCCTCTGGACTCTAAAGGGGGAACAAAGACAGGAGCAGGAGGTAGGAACAGTTGCCTCCTACTTGTCTCTGCAGCTTTGCTGGAGGCCGGTGTCGATTTTCACGTACTGAGGCACAGAGCAAGCTAATTTCCATCTGTATACACTGCAAAGAGGAGGTACATGATGATTTTTCCTCTTGGTCTGCTCATCCTTTTTTTTACCTGTCTACAGGGCTTCACGTAACAAGTCTGAGAAGAAGAGGCGTGATCAGTTCAATGTTCTCATCAAAGAGCTCAGCTCCATGCTTCCAGGAAACACTCGAAAAATGGACAAAACTACTGTGCTGGAAAAAGTCATTGGCTTTCTGCAGAAACACAATGGTAAGATTTAGTGTGGCTCATCATGCTCTTGCCAGACGGTTACTACAATAACCTGTTTCCTTCAGTAATTATCAGAATGGCTCAAGGGATCTAAAAGTGCCAACATAAGGGTTTGGGTTTTTTTCTGTCTCATCGAAAAAAAAATCATTTGTAGGCGTTGTGCTGCCCAAATCCATCTCCTTGACTGCTCTTTAAATGAGGATGACTCTCAACCTGCTGGAGAAGGGGGTGAATGTCAGGAACCGAGGGAAGGTGGACAGCAGTGCCCTTCAGCACATGTGAAGAAGAGGGATGCTTTGAACAAGAGAGATTTGGGGCCAGAGGGAAGATTCCCTTCCTTGAAATCTGCAGTATTCTGAGCAGAATAATGAAGCATTCGCCCCAGCTTCACTGCAGAAAAATGCAGGGAAGCGATCTGTTCAGCCCCCTGCTCCTCAGTGGACTGTGTAGGACTCAATTTTCCACGGTGCACAGAAAACTCAGACCAGAAAAGGCCCCAGTTTTTGAAGTCTGTTTCAGCAATTTGCGTCCACAGATTGCTGACATGCTTCACCCGGTTTGCACAAGCAGAAGCTGCATCACATTTGCTCAACATGCAGTTGCAATAGTAAAGTTCAGCCTCAGAAAGCCAGGAGTTTATTTTTTACAATGCACACAGCAGTGACAGTGAAGTCCCTTAGGCAGGTGCCCTCACAGAGGGCAGAGGAGGTGTCTGACCCTGCTGATCTAGTCTGGTTGGTCTAATTCCGAGCCGGTGAGAGGAACATGCACTGTGGGCTCCCAGACGCATGGATATCTGCCAGTGGTGGCCAACTGAAATGCTTCTCCCTCATAACTCAGGGCACTGGTTTAAAATGGGGATCTCTTGCTCTTCCTCTGTGAGGAAGAGGCTTCAGTGGGTGACCGTGGGGAATGTCCCTGGTCCCACAAAGCAGAAAGAGCTCTCATGAGCTCATGCACTGCATCACCTGACTCGCCTTTGCTCATCCAGCACTTCCCACCCGCACTCCCTGGAGAGCTCTGGGTAAAACTGAAAAGACCATAAAAACTCTTATATCATGACTCCCAACATAATGGAGTCACAAATGTCAAACTTATTGAGGAAATAATTACAGTGGTTCTGTTGTTAGAGTGCAGTTTCTCCTTAAATGAATTTTTGCCACAGACAAGATGATTTCATACAGGAGGGCACAACTAGGACATCTCAATGTTTAATAATTGTATATACTATTAAAAAATGACAGTAATAACTTTTTTTTTTTTTAGCTGCCCAAGGCAGAGTAAAGGAGGCTGTGAATATGCTCAATTATAAAGTCAAGCAAAGAACAATCACACGAGATTTGAATAAGTGTAGATAAGTGTAGCCGATAGCCCAAATCATTTACTCCAAAAGGCCCTTCATTTCTGGAAGACCAACTAGGTAAAAGAGAGCTAACAGTCACAAATCCTTCCACAGCAATTGGGTCAAACTGTGACTGGTTTTTGTGCACTTGCTAAAAAAAGCAAATGTTATCTATTTTTAAACTAGATTAGTAGTCACAGAATATAATATAAAGCATCAGCGTTTAAAAATGTTTATTATCTAAAGCGTACTTTGGATCTGGTTTATTCAATCATATTTCCCTTTAATTTAGTAGGCTAAAACAAGATTTTAGTCGTAATGGAGGAGGAGGTAAATTTTCAGTTGTTCTTCATAAACAGCCTCCTTCTTTATAATCCACAGAATTTCCCAAATCTCAAGTAATTCTTCTAACAGTCGCTGTTTCATGTATATCAGCTTTTCCAAGCTACAGATCTGCTGAAAGTATCCTATATTTTGAAACTGTATCATAAAAATCTGATGGGCTGATCTCTCTCTGTCCTTAGTCTAGTTTTGAAACCTCTGTGTAAGACCATGGGGGCTGTTGAGAGCTGCTGTGCTGTCGGTGACAACCCCCAGCAGTGCAGAAAGCGAGTCGAACGAGCTGGTAGAAGCTGACGGCTGCATCTCCACTAGTAAAGCCTGAACTTTGGCTTTGATTTCTTTTAGGTGACAATATGCAAAGGCACTGGTATAAATTTGCTGTCTTTAATATCATTTAGCCATTTGCATTTCTCTGGCCATGTCTGTGTGTTCCAGTTAGGGAGCGTTGGGTATGACATGCTCTGGAAGAGTTAATCAATAGGATGAATTAGCAGGCGGCATGGAAAGAAGAAGACAGGCTGTGCTCAGCATCCCCTCACTACTAGACCTGAATGAGGGAGCACTCTCAGACATGTGGAGTGAGCAGCGAACAAAAGCAGCTCACGTCTCTCTAAATTATAAGATCTGCCCCCATGACCCTGTCTGACTCAGGCAGAGATAATGTGAGTGGCTGTTTTTCGAAGGAAGAGGCTCATCACAGTGCAACCAGCTACCCCCAGTATGGTCCCGTTTCAGTGCAAAGCTGTGACTTGCTACCCTGCTGTAAGTTGTTACCCCTGCATCCCTCCACAGAAAGCCCTCAGGGAGTGAGCATCCTCAGGCCGCTGCAGGGCCAGGACTGGCCAACAGTGGGGCAAAACCCCCCTGGTGTCTCATGGGCTGATAGCACAGGAGACCTTCCCCTCTGGACAGGATTTGGGATGAGATGCTGGTGCTCTATTCCCTCTCCCGGGCTGCCCTGCACCATGGGACTGGCAGCAAGCACAGGAGAGAGCGGGGCAACAGCACCAGTGCAAGGCTGCTGAAAACACTCATGTTTCGCTCACATTTTGGAGAACAGAGTAATAGCTCTGCTGTTGGGGTCACGGCCCTTTGGGGCTCCTCTGAAGTTTTCTTGCAGCTCCCTATTTGGCACGGAAGCTGTAGGCTAACCCCAAGCTCTCTGGCATCCTAATTTTGAAGGTGTAAATTGTAAATATCAATTTGACACGTGCTAATCCTTGCCTTGATTTTAATTTCACGTAAAGTGGTTTTATATTTTGACCACTACCCAAGTAATGCTGCTTGAGGCCAATGGCTACGTGACTACAGGCTTCCACTGGAGTCAGTTCAAGTTGAGCTGTGTAATAAATGAGGAAGACATTTCAGGATCAGGCCCAGTTTAGATAGTCGCTACTGTCTCTGTATGCAAAACACATGCTTGAAAACTGAGATTTTGTAATATAAAGGTGATTTCTGTCTTTTCATAGCAACTCATATATAGTCTTGCAAGATACAAGTTTCTTTGAATTTAAAAAAATTGAAATGTTTTATTTGTTTAGAAGTCTCAGCACAGACGGAGATTTCTGAAATTTCAGGACTGGAAGCCTTCATTTCTCAGCAACGAAGAATTTACCCAGCTGATGTTGGAGGTGAACATGCATATATACCTTTCCTAATTTTGTCTAGCAGTCATGGAAATGCCCATGCGTCTAGGATAAAACGTCTTCTGCAGTTCCAAAAGAGGAGATTTCAGGTACTGCTGTATTTGACCATCAAGCAGAGCTGTCACTGGGACAAGGGATTTGAGTCCTCACATGTTGCTTTTCACTCTTGATGGTGTCGTTGCACCGTGCTGCCACAGCCTGCAAAGCTGCAGACGGACTCCCAAGAACTGCAATCCAGGGGAGAGATTCAAATCACAGGTTACATTTTATTTTTACAAACAGAGGTGAGGAAGAGGGCACGTGGCAGATTTTCTCCTGTTCTTGGAAGGCGTCATTATTACCTAATATTTATGCAAGACTAGCACCTAAAAAGCAACAGTGTCACGTCCCTCTAGTGCTAGGTGCTGTACAAGCAGATAAAACCTGACAGCTCCTCTTGGTTTGATACAGTTAATACTTCCACTCTAATGATTTTCAAGGCCCTTATCAAACACTTTTTTATTCTAACAGGGAGCAGGGTTATTTTGCAATGATAGTTTTTAAATTACCTTGAAATTATACCATAGGTGCTTTTAACACTAGCTGGGATTCGAAGGGAGGTGACTCAATGGTGTTTATGTAGGTTTGAGATGAAATGCAAATGAGCTGCTAAAATGTATTTTTCCCTCTCAGTAACAGCTAGAATCTTCTTTAGCAAGGATCTTCTCCCATACTAAACATGTGGAGGTTGCATGGCCCCACAGTGTCCTTTGAGAACAAGCTTCTCCTCCTGTGTGGTGTGAATGTGGGGCATGATCCAGGCTCTGGTGGCAGGCAGGGGTGGATTCTGGGGAGCAGCTTGACCCACTAAGGGGTGGCATGAAGCCAGGGCATGGCAGGGCTGGCAGTCCCTCAGCTGTTGCAGTTTGTTGTTGTAAGGCTCCCCTGGTCCAGTGTTACGAGATGCTTTGCTCCCATTGCACTGACAACCACCCATTCCCATCTCAGTGCACAGGAACTTAACGTACATAACTCCTTCGGACTCCACTGAAGTATTTCCCTTGGATGGCAATAAATTGGGAGTTGTCTTGACTGGCTGGGCCTTTGTTGATTCTACTTGTATGCCACACAATTTTAGAGTAAAACTATTGCTTTTAGTTTCCCAGCTTATAAATCACCTTCTTGCTACTGTGATTTTCCATGCCCTTCAAGGTAACACTGGGTGTTGGGATGTCCCATTGAGCCAGGTGTTCATCATTCTCTGCTTTTTTGCCATTCTACTAATCTTATTTTATTAACATTTGGACAAGACTGCTTGAAGTTTTTCCTGTCCTGTTATTAAAAGATGGGAAGGGTTCTTTCAAGCTCTGATTCAAAAGTATCAGAGCATAATTGACTGCAATAATACATCAGCTTTCCTGAAAATGGCCTTTTCTTCCTCCATTGAAAAGACTGTCATTGAATTACATAATTGACTGCTAATTACATTGCTGTTGCAGTAGTGAAATCTTTGAAGAGGGATATGCCCTTTTAATGTTGGACGAACCAGTTGCGAGTAAATAAAAATAGAATTATTTATGCATACATTAACTTGATTTTACCACAAAATTCTGATGTGAGTCACTTGGTACAATTTGCATTGGATATGAAATAAAGGCTTGATTTTAAAAAAACAAACCCACAACAACCTTCACCATAGTAACATGCACAATCCAGCAGCCTTGTAAAACCACTGCTCTCTTCTACGGGTTAACAGCTATCATGCTTTGTTAGAAAACAGCTTGAAAGTACTACACTAAAGAAAAACGCATTCTCTGCACTGAGATTAACAAAATCAAACTAAGTATAGCAGCTGGAGGGTTTTCAGAGATGCTAAACACATGCTTTTCTACTGGGGTATAAGTTATCGACCTGCTTTTCAAAGGATTGCAGCACCAGCAGATTCCCATTGACTTAAATAGTTGTGGGTGCTCAGCATTCTCTGGAAAAAGGAACATATGTTTGTGTCTTTATTCAAGGCTTTGTGTTTTCCTTTTTTTTTAAAAAAAAAAAAAAAACAAAACAATTAGCATTTTCCAGTGTTCTCAGAATTCTTTCCCTTATTGAAGTCAGCAGGGGGGAAGGATGTTCTGCGGCTCACAGGATCAACTGCTAGTCTGACTTGGAGTCATGCCTGGGTTTGCAGTAAGGTTTTGTAGCCGTGGCACCCTGATCAGGCTGGTGTTTGCAGTACACCTGTCTCCTGAACAGGTATTACCTCTGGAGTATAGTTGAAATCTGCTCTGATTGCAGTGCCTGTACTGCTCAAATACTGCAGGCAACACTGACTCCAGATCACCAGTCAACTGACAGGACCTAGACCTGCTCCACTCAAAGGCATTGGGAGCTTCACCAGTGACTCCTTAATTACAAGAAGAAGGTTTAAATATAGTCTCTGAGCACCTGATATTGAGTCTTAACTTTTGGGGGGGTTCTGCTCAGAGGAGATTGCTTTGGATCTGGAAGTCTACCTATATTTAACTTTGAACAACATTTAGCTCAAAATTTTGCAGCTCAGACTAAAGAAGACACTCATTTTGAAAGTGAAATTGCTCCTGTGTGGAGGATGGGGATAAGGCTGACATTCCCTTTCAGTCCTAAGAGTGGAGGGACTAAAGTGAGGAAGAAACTCTGTAGAAGGGTGAATTTCCTTTGGAATGAGTAATCGAATACCATGACCTTTAAAATAAATCACTCAATTAAAACACAGACTAAGGATTATTTGATCATTTGCATTGTTTTTACTTACATGAAAGCCCAGTGATATGCAACGTTACATTAATACAATCTGAGATTTATGGGATTTGCAGAGAAGTACCATTTTGAGACAGGACCGCATCCTTTCATCGTCCTTTGATATTTACACAGAGCTCAAATGTTCATTTTAATAACTTCCAAGGGATCCAGCCTTAGTCATTTTGCATTATTAAAATGTGTGATTAATTTAAAAACTGAGACATGAAATGTTCCTGTGAGCCCTTTGTTGCTTCAATAGTAGGTTTTACTAGACTACAAAGAGTGTTGTAAAAGCTAAATCAGACTGTAAAATCAGAGAATTACTGTTCTGCAACTTGAGATAACATTCCTACAACTTGATAACAATATGGTGCTGAAGTCAAACTGTTTTGATCCACACGCGATGAGATGCCCTGTTTACACCACTCGTTCCTATTAAAGCACTCTCCACTTGTCTGTTTTCCTTAGGCATTAGATGGCTTCATTATAGCAGTAACCACAGGTGGAAGCATCATCTATGTGTCTGACAGCATCACACCTCTTCTAGGGCATTTACCGGTGAGTAAAATTCTGGCATTGGCTTTTCTACTACACATCGTAGGATTGATGCATTTTTAGAAACAGGTGTAGAAGGGTGGCAGGGGGTGGTGTTTTCCTGAAAATGCAGTGAGGTGTTTTGTCCCTGTGTTATGCTGGCCGCTGCTGTTGATCAGCTCTGTTCTCTCTCCGTCTGATTCATACCCTTCAGGTTTTTGTTGCTATGAGGCACTTTGGCTTGAATGGAAAAAGCTCTGCGGGAATACTCTGGCCAGGGGAGGGACTGGGTGACCTGGCTGATCTTTTCCGTCTCTGATTTCTAAGCTAGCAAAGAATAGCACCAGTGCCACTGGCAGCACGGCGAGGAGCTTGTTAAGGGCCTTATTCTGCTCCCAGGGAGGTAAAGGACAAAAAACCCATTGAATTCAGTGTTAGCTGGGGGCTGCAGCCAAGCTGTCCCCACAGCTCAGCTGTGCTTTCCCAAGGGGAGCACACCCCGCTCCCAGGAGGTGCTGGTGGAGCCGATGCTTGGCGCTTGGGCCTGGCTCATACAGCTTGTTTTATCTGCGGGCTGCTGGGTCTTGCTGTGGGAGACACTCCTGCATGTGCTGGCTTGGGCTGGAGTAGCAGGGGAGAGGGACTGCTCCGAACCCTGCTCCTGTTGCTAAGGCTGCTCTTGGAGAAATGGAACAATAGTTAAGGATTAATCCTCACACTCATTTTTAGGAGCTTGGTCTCAAATAAATACATGCCCAGGAGAAAAAAAATCACTGCCAAATCATTATCGTACCACCCCCCCTGCCATGTTCTTAGGAAAATTACAATTCTTGTTCTCTCATTTACTTTTTCACCAAATACGTGTTATGTTTTCCACCCAGACAAATGTATTTACCACACGCTACCTTGCTGTAATATGAACAAAATTTTTTTTCTTCTGAGACGAAAGGAACTTGATGAAAGGTGGCAGCTCGTGGTAAATGAAAGAATATTGCTATGCAACAACAGATTGAACTGAATTTATCTATTTCAGTTTTCTTTAATCCTCAACAGTTGAGAAAACTAGTAGCTGACTATTTTCTGATATTTGCCTTCACTTCAAAAGCAGAAAGAGCCCTGTCCTGCATGCAGGCTGTTGGGTCTTCATACACTTACTGATTTCCATGCAACTTCCTGGTTTGGGGGTTTCAAGGTTTCATTGCTATCCCTTCCAAATACTTATTCTTAGTGGAGACTGCAGGAAAAGTGTTGCTTTTCAGGAAGACACATTTCAGACCCTGTGCCTAAAACCTTAAGCGCTGGCTGAACATGGATGGATTCAGGTTCGTAATTCCTGAGTTGAACCATCAGAGACTAAATTGGTTTTCCCTCTCAAAATCATGCCTCGTGTGACAATCTTGCACAGTATCAAGCCCAAAAGGAGGGCAAAGACTGGCATTATTTTTTATTCATACAGAAGCAGCACATAGCAGCCCAAGCCAGGGACCAGCCTGCCAGGGCTAGAGGTGGAGCAGGACTTTCCACAGACCTTCTCAGAGCTGATGGAGTGACAATGGTTAACAACTGCCCCACCAGCCCATGTGTGTGGAGTGACCGGGTGCATCCCAGAGACCCCAACCAAGCAAGCAATAAAGGCTTCCGCCTGCCCGAGGTTGGCAAATTGCTATGGCCATGGGCAGGGGCCCAGTTGAGAGTACGGTTAGGTGCACACCGCGCATTTTAGTCCCATGCTGCCCTTTCCATATGTCTTTCTAAGTTTTAAAACTCATCAGAGTGCTATCTGGAAAATCTATGTGGCTTATGTTGTTTACCTCCAGGATCTATTTGTAAGCTGTCCCTGTTTGAGGGACAAAATACCAATTCTTTCTCCTCTGTGACTGCAGGGAAAAAAAATACTCTGTAAATCTTCTGCTTTGAGCACTGAAAGGAAAGCAAAACTGGGCAGAATGCAGAGCAGGGCTCTCTGAGGACCCCTATCAAGAAATCTGATGTATTTTCTTTCATTAAAATCATGAAAGACTCTGGTGCTGAGAACAAATATATCCAATTCTCTTTAATACAGCTTCCCTAAGTTCCACGGAGCATTTCAAACACAAACTTCCTCTGTTGTATTTCTAAATAGTTTGTTATTACAAGATCTGTGGGCTACTCCTAGGGTCGATTGATGTAAAAAGAGGTTTAGCTCACATGGTAAGACTGACTGTAGTTGAAGTGAACTGAACTCCTGGAAATCTGGTCACAACTCAGAGCATTTGCCAGTCAGATGGTATACTATGACCCCAAGACTATGCAGTGTCTGGAGGAAGGTCCCCCCCTGTCCCTTCTTGCCTGCTTTGCTGAGTGAAACAGTTAAACCACAGGCAGAAGAGTGACTATTTCCAGCCTACAGGAGGAGATGCAGCTTTCTCATGGACATTGCTTGTCCACGGACTCAGGAGAGCAGTGTCAATCTCATCCAGCTTTAGTCCCATAGCCAAGCGGTTGCACTTGGTGCCTGCCCATGCAAAGCTCCTTAAGTATTGGCAGGGAGGTGGCTCTGCAAAGGCAGGAGGTTCCTGGCAGGGCTAAGCTTCTCCTGCGGGTTGCCTCTTTCGCCCCAGGGGCTCCCTGGTGACACTCAGGCCGTTAAAGTTAAACATCAGGGTGGAAAAATCCAGGACATAGCACCTTATAGTGTACAAAAGTTTTGCATGCTGTGGTGTTGTTACAGGGTAGCAATGGGCATCAGTGCAGGACGGACAGGCTGATATAGAGGCCAACTCCCAGCACATGAGAACAGAGCTATCTTGATTTTTTGGGTTGATGGGAAAGAAGCCTATCTCAATGGCACCCTTCCACCTTCCCATTCCTGTAGTGACCATGTTACTCAGTCCCCCTGCTTTTTTTTTTCCCCTGCAGCAGGGATGACTCATCATATTTCCTCCTTGCCCCCTCAAAGAGCAAGGAAAAAGTGAAGGAGCTCCATTTTGGAGTACAAGTGTTTTGTTGAAACTGCACAGATATTTAAGCTATACATCAAATGATTGAAGAAGTTGGGGTGAATTTACTGTGTATTGTTTTTAGAATGGACCAGCATCCATGCATGCAAAGCTGTTGTTTCTTTGCCTCCTGTGGCTATCAGGGGTAAATATTCAGAAGTTTCTGTTAGCAGGATCCACAGGTTCCAAGGCACAGAGTAGATTCCAAGGCGCAGAGTAGATTCCAAGCTTAGCAGCATAAATATGCATTATCATAGTTCATCTAACCACTTTACCCACAGTCACTGTAATCGATCTTTTATCCACTTTGCCTGTCGCATTCAGCAATGCTTTGTGGCTGTGTCTGCCAGCAGGGCAGAACTGCCCATTGCAGAATAATTAGAATAATCAGACAAAGCTGCAAACTGTTTCCCTCCAACCGATACATTTTTTGTCTGTGGTGATCAAATCTTGTCCAGCTCTCTGGTCACCTTTTTGCCATGGTACCAGATGTCTGCTCTTTGTGTCTGGTGCAGCAGTAGCTCTGAATAGCTTGCCTGGCATTTCCTACAGCTCCAGCAAGACCATGGAATACTTGCTTCCTTCTCTCTATTTGACCTGTCAATATAGTCTTGATTGATATATTCAAGAATATTGTTGGAGTCTTGGTACGTACAAGATTCAGAAATTCTGTTCCGTGCGCTGCTTTACAGGTGTGCCTACCCCCTGCAGGAGGCAAGAGTTGTGAAACAGAGTAAGAAGTAGATACGTTATCATCTTTTTCAAAGCCATTTAAAAAAAAGTTGGTATTTCCTAACAGCAAAGATGCAAACCAAACGTTAAATTCTGAATATGGTACATGATGGCGAAAAATATAAATGCCAGGACTTGCAAATCAACAAATAGCTGGTGCTCAGGGCAGGAGGTTGCTCTGAGGGGTGTATGGAACAAAAGTCTCTTGCAACTTCAGCCATAGGTGTAGTCACAGTCCTCTGCAGCTATCACCTTAAACAGAAACGACACTGCAGAACTGATAACAGATTTTGAATCGGAGCTTGGTCACAGTGTGGAGATAAAAGGTGATACATGCTTAGGTCACTGAAGAAGCAGTAGTGAGTTTGAGGAGTGGTGACAGCTCACATCTAGTCCTCCTGCAGTTACTGTTGAGTGGATGGGAGATTAATTAACCTCCATGAGACTTTTGTGAAACTGGTGGATAAGTATCATTATCTACCATTTACAGGTAGAAAGGGAATGAGAAGGAAAAATTACTTTTCTGAGATTGTACCATAAGCCTTGAACAGGACTCACCACAGCAGTTTCCCATCAGGTGCTCTTGCTTCCTATGCCTGAAATTACATAAGCAATATCCTATAATTTGTAAAAATATAAATATAAATGTAAATATAAATATAAAATGTATATATATATGTGTGTGTGTCTATATATATAAAATATTTATACAGGATATAAATGTATGTATATGTATGTATTTGTACACATATATAAGTATATATGTCCCTGGATCTGCAACTGACGTGGCTCTCGGGGCCAGTGGCCCAGAGTGACTCCCAGCCACATTGCTCCCACTAGTTGGGGTTTGCCAGGGAGATAACAAGCTCCAGTGATCCACAACAGGCCTGTGCATGGAGCTGGTGAGCAGTATAGGGAGCCAGGAATGCATTTTCCATATATATATATAAAAAAATCTCATACTGTATCAGTAGGATGCATATTAATAAGGTATACACTAAGTCATAAAAATTAAAATAATTTTCACGTATTCTTCACAAAAGAAACATTCAAGTAATAAGCACATGTAATAAATACTTAAAAGTGAAAAATCTAAAGTGATATATTATTGCATCAAGATAAGTGTATAAAATGTAGCACTCTGATTTTCAAACTATACTTGATGCATTTCACTGCTCTAAACATGAATTCCATCCAGAACAGCAGGCATGGGTAGAAAGCAGAGGGAAACCAAAGTGCAATCTTATGTAAATACATAAATAAATGATGATGATTAATAACTTGCCAGTCTCATACAGGGCTAACACGTTTTCAGCATGACTATACAGTCTGATAGCAGCTGCTCTGACGACACACGAAGCTGTGTCAGTGTGCCAGCTCAGCCTGAGGTAGTCTCAAGTGGGATGGATGTAAGTTAATGCCATTAGAGGGTCACTTTGTTTCAGGACTTCCTTTCAGATATGCTCTTCTAATGTTAGGTTACTCGCTATGCTGAATACACTGAGACTTTCTTCGTGGCCACCCTGTGACGGTTTCTCTGTCTTCCCCACCCTGGGCCAGTCATGGCCTTTTGTGCAAATCCATCTCCTCTTTCCATTCCCAAATCTCAGTACTTAGATTTTGGGTGGATTTCAGGTTTGTGACAGCTGACCATGGGGCTGGAGACACCTGGGCATTCAGCCCATGCCTGGCCAGAGGGCTTGTGCCAGTGGCACCGTGAAGTCTCCCTCCCTGGGGACTAACTTGCTGCTGCAAAGCAGTGTCCAGAAAGGGAAGACCCCTTCTCCCTGATCCCGCCTGCCAGGATGCAGGAAGGGGGGAGCTATGGCTGCCACCCCAAGGGCACTTCCCAGGAGCTGAGGGGATCCCCCCAGGGAGGGACTGGATCCGGGACTCACTTGGCTCTTGGGGCCAGTGGCCCAGGTATGACTCCCAGCCACACTGCTCCTGCTAGTCAGGGTTTGCCAGGGAGAGCAAGCTCCAACAATCTGCCACAGGCCGGTGCATGGAGCTGGCGAGCAGTATGGGGAGCCAGGCACCCGTTTTCCAGCTCACTCCCAGGTCTTGTCATTTAATCGTGTGGACATACCCGATGCATCTCATGGTCTCTGAGAAACGTTAGAGGAGCATCACTGAGTGCTAGGAATTAAGCTGAGAACTGGCCCACAAAGAAGCGGCCGCTCGGTTTGCCCAGCAGTTTCCCCCGTTTTAGGCTTTCTCAGGGGTCCCTGGAAACCAGTGGGAAAAGTCCTGTGGGATCAACTGCCACAGGCTTTGTATCCACATTGCTGCGCATCTCTGCAAGCATTGCTCGTCGTGATATTTCTATTTTCTCAAAGGTTCTTTTTCTTTGCAGTGTGATGTCTTGGATCAGAATTTGTTAAATTTCCTCCCAGAACAAGAACATTCAGAAATTTATAAGATGTTATCTTCTTGCATGCTTATGACGGATTCTGCCTCATCGGATTACCTGAAAAGTAAGTTTTATTTTATCTTCCTCAGTAAATGAAAAGCACAGGCAGGATAAAAATTTTCTCTCAGAAAGATTTTTTTATGTGATGTGCAATATAAAACTTAGGTTCTTAGCCTTTTAAAAAGATCTTGCCACCTGGAATGACCCTTGGTTCTATTTTTAAGTGAAGCTCATTGCCTTTGTTTTACTAGGTTAAGACTACTTGTAGTTATGTTAATTATTAAATATCATATCTTTTGAGACAGCTAAGGAAAATAGGTTAGCTGATGGAAACCGAGAGTTCGCCTGAGACAAATCACATCTTAATTGATATTTCAACCTGTTCAAGTAAGATGCTGTTCAGGGATATGCTAATGTCACATACCTTAGGTTTGCATTATGGTTGAAAAGTATCTGTAAAATCATTGCAATTCTTTTTCAAACTGAATTTTGTTTTTCTCAAAAATGCTTTTACTTGCCTCATCCTTATTCACTCTAGGAGGTAAGACATAGGAAACCAGAAAACACACGATAATGTAAGATGCACAGCTGCTTAATCTACTGTATGTACAAAACCTGCAGCTGATAGCTAATATGCCAAAGTTAATGTAATAGATATTTTGAGGTAATTAGGCATAGTTTTCCAACACAAGAACAGCTGTGAGTCGTGAAAAGCCTAAATAGAAAAAAAAACCCTATAAATGAAGGATCCAATTCTCTCCTTCGCTACACTGATGCTATGGCAGTGTAACTCCTGTGATGAAGGTGGTCTAAGAGAAGGGCAAGTTAGTCTTGAAGGCTGTCCCTGAGCTGCAGGCAGACCTGTGCACAGTGCTGAACCACCTGCCTCCCTGCAAGGCGCTTCCTTGCAGAGGCTCTGATCCTGCAATGTATAGCACATCGGTGTATAGGACTCCGAGTGGTAACAAGCTGCTCTCGTGCTGTCAGTTGCAAGATTGGGGTTGGAAGACACCGTTGGTTGTGTTTAGCTTAAATAGCATATTTATTTCTTCTTCTTCTTCTTTTAACAATCCAGCTGACAATGAACTAGAGTTTTATTGTCATCTTCTGAGAGGAAGTTTGAACCCAAAGGAATTTCCAACATATGAATACATAAAATTTGTAGGAAATTTTCGGTCTTACAGCAATGGTAAGCTTTAATTGTTGTATAAATGTTACTTTAGCTGTGTAAAATAAAATATAAGTATTGCTCCATTGAACAAGACAAGCTTTTAACTGAAAGGACTACTTAACATTATGGGGTGAATTTTGCTTCATGCGGATCTCGCAGCTGATTTGCAATAGCTGGACAAATACCTGTGAAGAGTGAAATTGTGTTAGTTGCTTTTGTTACTGCCCTTCACCTGTTAGCAATGATCCTGGACTCTGGGTAAGTTTGCAAATAATGACAGATTCAGAGGAGGGTTTGTTTGCACTCGCTAATACTGCGTGCTAAGACTCTACCTATTAGCTGAATAATAAGCTTGCTGCCTTATCTGCTGGCTTACATTAAACACAAATTCTGTGCCAGAACTGATAATCTGCCAAATGCTCCCTCTCACCCTTCTCTGCAAAATTTTGGGGAAAGGCGGTAGCGCCAAGTAATTGAGTGTCTGCACTCACCGGCCCTTGCTGCAGTGAGGGCTCCCCTGCTGCTGGCATCCGAGTGGCTGAGGACACTTCCTCCCGCTTCCCTCTCCAGCTGCCATTTTACATTCCTCTCCATCACTGCAGAACCCAATACTCTCCAAAAAAAAAAAAAAAGAAAAGGAAAGAAATACAGTCAGCAGTCTCTAATGCACCACAGACAGTCTAGGGAAACTGTCTTTCAAGGGATGAAGAGCAGATTTCCACCTCGCCTGTTCCCTAACAAACAGATTGCTACACGGCCATTAGTGTCAGAAATGAAATACTCTTTTATTACTTTCCCTTCTTTTGCCTGCCTAAGTTTGCTTTAGTTACTTGCCTGATTGAACTCCAGAGTGGCATTTCCAAAGTCACTGGTATTGTTCCAAATAGGTCATCCTCAGCAAAAAAAATTCCCCACCGTGCTTTCCAAAAACCGCATGCCACACTGTGAAAAAAATGTCCCTGTCCCCATTTAACTTTCTGCTCTTGCTCCACATGACTAGAATAGAAACCTACGTGCAGGATGGAGATATGTATTTCTTGTTTGGTGCCATCTGATTTGAGGCTTTATTTGTATAAAAAATGTAACTGCCTGTATGCTTTCTAGCTTGAATGAAGCAAAATGCGGCTGCCTGACAGACGCGCACACCAAGCTGTTCTGTTTTCTAGAGCAGAAACCGGATTTCAGGTGCTGACTCATAAGGATACATTTCTACCAGGGGAATTTCTGATCCATTTTCTTCAAGGATTTTCAGCCTTTTATTTTGGTGTGACCTTAATATTGGCCTCTTACCCATTAGGATTTCATATCCCAGCATTTGTATCAGGGGCTATTTCTCAGAAGAAAGATAAAACTTGCATTACAGATATATTCCCTAGCTTAATGCATATAAACTAAATGGGAACATATTGATTTCAGAAGACACCAAATCATTTTCCAAAGACCCCAGCTTATAGCTTTCAAATATGACATGTGCTTTCTGCTTCCATTTTTTTTTTTACTTTGTGCCCCCTTTTTCTAAATCTTCCACTTTATTTTGTCTCTTCCACTTTCTTCCTATCTCTGCTGCAGTCTGACCCTCTGGTCGATAGGGAGGGGATGGCCCTTGCCCCCGCTCTGTGAGATGGTGCCTCCTGGCCCCTTTCCCATCTCCCCATCACAGCTTGCCCATCCTGATTTTAATTTCCCCAGTTCAGTGCAGAGCCTGCTGGAAATACTTGCTTCACCAGTGCTCTCCCTTGGCTGGGGATCACCTCCATGGCCACCTCTGCCCCTCACCCCCCCCTCGCCAGCCTAGCTCCTAATCCAGCCACAGAATCACCTCCCAGCAAAGGTGGAAGCAAGTGCACTGGTCTTGCGAGGTAGCAGCAGCAAACTCTGTTTTCTTGGGAGCTGATAACCTTGGGCCAAGGACAGAGCAAGCAGCCAGAGGAGGGTGCAAACCTCCAAAGCGGCTGTCGTTAGCTCCACCAGGCTTCTTGCATCAGCCGGCTGCACCCTGAGCAAGGCATGGAGGACATCAGGTCAAGCAAGAACCATATGAACGCAGACACCCTTTGGGCAGCTTTCCAGCCCTGGGGCTGGGGACAAGCAGCTGTGCTTTGGCACGGGGACTTGTGGCATGGACACCTTTGAGCATCTGATGAGCGCAGCAGTGAGCTGGGTTCCTGCTTCTGCTTGGCTCCCCCACACCCCAGGACATCCCATTACCAGGCATGGTTCCCACCCCAGACCACACACTCCAGGGCTGTCACCTGCCAGACCTGCTAGTAATTGCTCTCTTCTTTCTCCCATTAAATAAATACCCATTCTTCAGCCAGCCCCCCTCCAGGTGTGAGGCCAAGTGGGTGAGAAAGACAGTGATGGGAAGCGTGGTGGGGGAGAAACGTATCACTCACAGGGCAGTGCTCGTCCTACGTGCGTAGGATCGGCTGGCCCCAAATCCTGCATTTTGGAGGTGTTTTTGGAGGAAGGAGGCTAAGCTAAAGATAAGAAAAGAGTTAGCTGGGGGAGAAAGACAGAAATTGCAAATTAAGCTTAATTAGCAGGAGACATTCCTTATGAATGTATTCAGGAATGCTTTTCCCTGTAGCTTTTCACAGCAGTGGAAGTGTGAGCATGTTTTTACACATGGGAGACTGATACAGGATGTTCTTCTCTAAATACAAATCTCTGCCATTCCTTTTTAGCCACCTGATGCCAAATCCTACCTTTGTTTCCAACGGTTTGCTGAGCATGCCGAGTCTGCCCTGCCTGTGCGTTCCCGCTGCAGGGATGCCAGAGCCCCCGTGGCTGGGGAGGCTCTTTTATCCGGGGGCAGGCTGTGTCCCATCAGGATCCCATCAGGATACTTAACTATTCTCTTCCCATTAATGTAGGGTCGTGGCAGTGACAGTCCTAATGAATCTTTCACCTTTCCTTCTCACTTAATCTTGCTCATTGCTCATATAATGGTGGTGCTTTAGGGAAGTGGGTCCCAGTGACCTTGCCTTCCTCCCCCCTTCCTCCTACCTTCTCTGTTAATCACATTGTGCCTTATGGCTGAGAACAGCATATAGGGATGGGTTTGAATGGATTAATTTGAAGGACTGAGGCTTAGGAAGCCAGTTAGGGGCTTATCTGCTCTCCCTAACTTTAGTGGGAGCTCTGAGGCTTTAAAAGCCATTGCACTATAATACTGAGATGCCAAAGAGAATTTTTTTTTCTACTTAAGCAGAACAAACACCTGATAACTACCAAGGTGACTTGTCATCAGGATGGCTGTCAGTGAGCGAGATCACACACAACCCACATAGAACCTATGCTGCTCCCCCACAGGAGCAGTCACTGCCATCTTCCCCCATCCCAAAAGGAGCAGGGAGTTGCATGCGCAGCCCCCAGAAATTGCCCAGGAAAGTTCACATAGCTCACAGCATGTTTCAGTCTTTCAGAAGTTCACCATCCCTAGAGCTCCCGGGCTCAGCTATAGCTGGAGGCTAGAGGAGCTGCACAGCCCTGCGCCAGGGTTAGCAGGAGGGTCCACGCTTGGGCTGGTCCCAGGGATGGTGTATGGGAAGCTGTACTCTGTAACCCCTGCTGCAAGGACATTTCTGCAGCTGTACCTACACCAGGGATGTGACACGGGGCTGCCTGCACATGAGCAAACCCCCCCTCAAATTATCTATGCCCAAGTGAGAGCGGCTGACCAGCGAAACAGCAATGCGAGCTGTGAGGAGTGACTGCATGAGTCACTGGCTGTGCTAAATCAGATACAAGAGATTTGATTTTCCATTTGGGAGGATTATATAATCATCATTAATTAAGCTTCAATGAGAAAAGCAGGACTGTAACCTGACATGAAGACTCAGTACTCCCTTGAGAGGAGGGGAGGTGGCCCATGGGCCACTCAGAAGAGGAAGGTGGAGTTCCCTCTTTGCTTCTGTGAGAAATGCCTATTTGCTTTCAGAGCATAAAGGGTTTGGGTTTTTTATTTGCAAATAGGAACTCTTTCCAATATTTTTATATATTTCAGGTTCTGTTCCTGTAGTCCAGATTTTAACAAGAGCAACGAATATATGCAAACATCTGAGGGAGCCGAGTGCCATCACTGTACCTGTTGACCTGATAAGGGGCAGAGTCATGTCAGCGTCACCAATCAATAATGCAGTGGTTCCCATCCAGTTTTGCCTGAGGGCTGAGGGGGGAGGCAAGTAAAAAAGATAACCCTCCAAAAAATCCAAGGAAATGCTTGGCTCCCAGTATAAAACATCACATTAAGTGAAAAAAAAGTTGTACAAAGCTGCTTAATAGCTCACTCTGATAAGAAAAGATAAGGTGGGCTGGATTTATCCCTCCTGTGAAAATGGCTTGTATGTTTGTAAACAGAAAAGGATCTCTCATAATTATATAACCAAATATTGGCTTTAGTATCCTATTTCTGAGGTGACATATTTGCTTAAAAACTCCTGAAACGGACAAAGCCAGAGTCCTGCCTTTCAAAGAGTTCACCAATATAAAAATGACCACCAGCATCTTTAAAGCAGCAGGTCCGTCCTTTCATCCAAAATGCCTGAACTTTTCCTCTTGAAGGAGAAGGTAGCTGTTACATGAAGAGAGTTCCTAATCAAGTAATATAATTAAATATTACAATGGAATTTAAAATTGTGCTTTTTTGTTCCCAATTACATGGAAACTCAGGAAGTATCTGGTTACTGGATGCTAAAAACAGTAGATACTCTACTGCTAGCTGATATATCTCTCTGAGATAAGAATAACCATAAAGAAAATTATTACGCTGAGGAAAAACCAAAATTTTTTCACTCCCAGAACAATTAATTCAATCTGAATTCCTTTTTAAAAGAAATAAACAGATTTATACAGAAGATACATTGATCTTGAGCCTCCATAAGCATATGCAGAAACATCTGATAACAAGAATAACTCAAACTGAAATGAATGTTTTGATCAGAACTGACAGCTGCGTATTATTTTTTGCTATTAACAACACTGTAGAAGCTGCAGCCAGCAATATCTGCAGCGCTTGTGCTGGGCTCTCTGTGGGCACTTACGAAAAAAGGCACCATTCCTGTCCTAAAGAATTTACTCGGGGTTCATATCAACACAGGATGGAGAGGGGAGAAACAAGAGGAGGAAAGAGGGGGAAAGAGGAGAGAGTAGATCAAAGTAGACAAGTGATGTATGGACACTGTCACTGTTACTCATCCGAAGCTACTGAGTGCGGTCTGGGTTGCCACTAGCTCTTTAGATTTCTTCATTACATATATTAATTGCTGAATATTCTGTTTATCTGTGCTCTGAATTTATTTATATGCAACAATCTTGATTTTATTCTGGTCTGTTTGGCTTGTGTTTCTTGAAGTCACTGTTCAGTTTGTTTGACACTCACTAGGACTGGTTCTTTAAACATTAACATCTACTGACAAAATAGGAAGGAGGGATTTCTTCTTTCAAATGGCATAAATGAGAGGTTTGCTGTTATAGGAAGAATATGTTTTAAACATCCTAAGTTAAAATAAGATGACCGAGCAACTGACTGCTGTACTATTGTTAACTGAATAATGTGGCATCTGGGGTTTTTTAAACATGTTTTCACTCATTTCATGTGGCATGATTTATATCCCTAAGGATAAGAATCTTTTTGTCTATGGTAGTTAAGGGCTTGGTTCCTTATATACATTATTTATTTTTAACATCTTCTCCTTAGTGTCCTGGTCTTTTTTTTTTTTAAAAAAAAAAAGCAAAACCAAACAACAACAACAACAACTGTATATAGGCAAATCAGTTTCTTTCTATCTTCTTACATGATATTTACAGGTAATTTAATACTTCTACAAAAGAATTTTCTGGTAGGTCTAGATTCTTAATTCATTAATTATTTATTAATATTAAAATTCATGCTAAGGAGCATCCGCTAACTGATATCTATGAGACAACTCTTTCACCTTTCTGATTATGTATTTAGCTTTGCCACACGACCTTCTAATTTCCTACTCAGGATATTTTGTCTAGATCATTTAACTGTGAAATACACATATCCTCTTTTACCTGAGCCCACCTGTTTAAAGCTAGCTGAACATCTTCATCAGGCACTTTCTGATAAAAGCACTCCAAGACCTGTATTTGACTTATAAATGTTAATATCATCATAGCCTCAGACTTCATCCTGTATTTTCCATTTCACTATTTACTACGGTGCTCTCAGAAAGTTCACTACTGAACTTTGCTACTTCAAGATGTTGTGTGTTTCTTTTAAAGAGACTTGGAGAATTATAAAGTATGATTTTTCAGAAGGCGTGCTTTAAAGATTACACCAGAATTTTTTTTTTTTTAATTCATGTAATGATCTCTTTTTTAAACTACACTTTAAAATTTATCAACAAAAAAGTTGAAATTTGCTGACCGGCTGCAAGAGCAGAGCAAAACAGGCCATGCAGACAGAGCTGTGGAAAGAACAGATACCAGCAAAATAAGTCAGGCAGCAAAGTAGTTCAGAAAAAAATGTGGGATTTTTTTCTTTCTGTTATTGTAGCTGTTATTTTCAGATCAAGATGTACATTTCAAGGTGGTGGCTACCTGCCTGTATCATCGAGGCTTTTAGTGCTTTGGGCTTTGTGATAGGCAGCTGAGTATGGAGATGGCACAGTAGCTGTTTGAAGACTAGATGACTTTCAAGCCAGACCAGCTCTGTCTCATCTCCTTGGGCTTATTCATTCACTGCCACCAAGTTCAACATTGCCAAATGTTGTGATGGCATCACAAATTTACTACATAGCTGTTCTATACGATAACTACTACCTTTTTAGTATTGCATTTACCGCTTGGAAATATAATCCTATTTTGTAAATGCCACATTCAGGGTTGTATTCTGCTCTCTTCTGGGAATATGTCTCAGGCTCATGGCTATTTATGTCAAACAGCTGATGTAAAAAAGCCATCTGCTCTCTTTGGTGCAACTCGGTCTCCTCTCAGCCTCCTCTTCCTTCTGCAACTGGTGTCATTCGCAAGCCCATGGGTTCACTACCTACATTAATTTATCATACCTGTATTTTGGAGGTTGAACGTGCTTATCTTATTTTTATATCTTAGAGCTCAGGCTGCAAACATCTGCTACTGAACTTGGCTATTACAGAGAGAAACAGCCACATTGACTTCAAATGTGAGAACATATTACATAGTAATCTTGGAAGTAACTTTTTACAATGCCCTTAATGTGGGTTTATAGCAATCCCATTCATTTTTAAATAGGACTGACTACAGAAATTGACAGACTTGCACACAATAATCTATCAGAGATGAACCAACAACTTACTCAGGCTTCTCTTTTTTCTTGTAGCTCCTAACTCCTTCTTCTTTTTTTCCACCTCTTGTATTAATAATCCCATAGAAGCCCTCATATATGCACATAACCCCAGGAGCAGAACAGGAATACGTATTCCTAGGAAGTCCCCAGAGCATGTGTGCTTTGCTGGTGAAAGAAGGAGAATTTTGCCCATATTTTTTATCTCAATATCCAGTCAGCCATGCCCTCCAGACTCAGCTGCAAGAGAGGGTTGTAATCTCTGTGGATGTTCACATCTGTGCTGCCTTCTCAGATAAGGAATCTTTCTCCCCTTTTTGGCACAATATGTATGTGCAGTGGCCTAAACCAGCTAATCACAGGTGTGAATTCTCCTCAGAGTACTTATTCTTCTGTCTCATACCCTGTTATCCTTGCTATCAGCTATGTTATCGTTATTCTAAGGCTTTTAATAGGTTTCAAAAGCGCATGTGATAAGTTGAGACTTCTTCCATCTCTGCAATTTATGCTAGTGAACTAGAGCCCAGTGCAGGAGCACCCAAGAATAAAAATTGCTAGTTATCTCCTCCCCAGATAGATACAAAGCTCTTTGTTTTCACAGGAATGGACATGTTTATCCTTGCTTTGTCCTGTGCAGAAGAGACAAAGTGTAGGAAACTTCATGAAGTTGGATATAGAGGCCTAATAGTAAGGAAAGATAGTTTCATGTTAGTGTTAATCCCTCTTACCATTAGATTAACTCATATTGGTGAACTCTGGCTGCTAGATGGGACCTTCTCTGCCCCCACGGGAGACTGGGCCAGCCCAGCTCCCACTGCACCTTAGCACACAGTTTTCTTTCGCTGCTGTGGGAGCAGAATTATCATCTCTAAGCAGCTCGAATTTGGGTGAAGAATTTGCATTATGTCATTCTAACATGGGACTGTGGGCTAGCTTAAGGCAACAGGTTCTTTTGGCAACACATCTCTATAGCAGGAGGTGCTAGTGGGCTCTCAAAGCAGTGCAAAAGCCATGCAATCATGAAAGACAGCGACGAAAAACCACACACAAAATCTGTAGCCACATTGCATCCAGTTTTTCCTTCTGCCCAGTGTTTCAGGAGACAGCAGGCCATCTGTAGACTCACCAGAAATGCCCATCTCTGGAAGCCAGTGCTGTACATGGGGTCCTCTTTGCTCTTCTTTAAAACAAGGAGAACTTGAACACGCTGCGGGTGGTTCTCCTTAGATGTAGAAGGGGAAGGCACACTTCAGCAGCCGAGAATCACAAGCAACCTCTTGCTAGCTCGACGAAGCCTCGCTGGCTGTGGGCCCTGGTGTTTTGCCACTGATGACTTGACGAACTCTCTTCAGCTACCTCCCTTGCCAACACTTTTTTTCACTGCCTCATGGAAGTTAGGGTGCTAGGCATGCTGCAGCATACATTTTTCTCTTGTGAGTGGTGAAAAAGAGCAATTGGATGCGTGGGGTTTCTTTCCAGAAAGCTGGCTTATGCTCTGTAATAAGGTTTGGCCTTATTTTTATCAGGATTAACCTATAAGATTCATACTTGAAGTTAAGCTCTGATGTCTTTCTGCCTAACATGACTGACTTGGATTTAAATATATGCATATCAGCTTTAAAAGCTTTTAGAGCACTTCTCTGAATAAAATTAGTATTAGTATGCTTCAAGTGTGCAAAATATTCAGGGAGAGCAAATCTTGTGTGAGGCATGACTCCGGGTCCCGTTTTTTTCCCTACCTAGTGCCTAACTCCACTTGCAATGGCTTTGACGAGGCTGTCCCAAGGGCTTACAGAACATCCCCGGGAAAGCAGATCTGCTTCGTTGCAACTGTTCGTTTGGCAACGCCTCAGTTTTTAAAGGTAAGTGTGTTCCCTGGATCCCATTCATTTCAGAAACACCTCAAAACACTTTCAGACAGGGTGGCACACAAAGTTCTTGGTTTTGCTAATTGAATGGATTACAGATATCACATTTCATGCATAAAAATCCAGTGAAGAGGATTATCGCTGCAAGCCAGGATCTGCGGAAGCAGTGTCACTTCTGGTCCCCTTGCATGGGAAATGGAAACCCTCCTTGCATTAGGAATTGCGAAGTCACTTTGAAATTGGGTTCTTCATTGCTACTTTTTGTTCCTGCAATGGGACAGTGTACAGATGACCACCAATGCTTTCGTTTATGCCCCCTGGTGGTTTTGGGTGCTAGTTTCCCTCCTCCCAAATCCTGGTAGTAAGACAGCTGCCTGTGGAAATAAGGATAGACCACCCAACCTTGTGCCTGGCACTGCAGTTCCCTAATTAACAAATGTGAGCTACTGCACCAGCTGTCCTGTCCTCAAAAGATTTTTTAGTCTAATCGAGACCTTGCCAGTATGAAATCACTGCTCCGTTGGCCTGGCTCCATTACTGCTCTGGGACTTGCAGGGCACTCTTGAGTGATCCATGGCCCTGGCAGGCAAGTAGAGTCCCTTCTGGGTAGGTGAGGACACTTCCCATAAATCTTAACCACAGTGGTCATATTAGCAGTAGAGGCTGGAGTTAAGGTTCTCTGGGAACCCTGAAAGCCAATTCCCTTGTCTTTGGGTAGATAACATTTCAAAATAAACAGGGAAACGAAATGAGCCACACGTGGCAATGAGCTGCCCAGTGCCAGGGGGGAAGCAGCTGCTGAGCAACCCAGAGGTGTCAGCTGCCACAAAATCTTAGACACCGATCTCTTGAGTTCACAGGGGTGATTCACTTAACACCTGCTCTTGACTTCCTCCTCTAAAATGAAGGTAAAAATATTTATCTGACTGGCTAAGGAAGGCAGACTCAGCACTTTGGTTGCACACAGCAATGTTTGCATGACGCACTTGGAATTTTAGGGTATGTTCTTGGCATCAGCATGGATTTTGGTGTAGTCTGGAAAGGGGGGGACAGAGGAATTTAAGGTATGCATGAAGCCTTTTGCCTCTGTACAGCCAGCAACTTTAATCAACTTTGTGAGCATTGATATGTATCAAAGAAACACTTGATGGCAGAGTGCCTCAGCTTGTCCTCTGGTCCCAAGAGAGTTTAAAAATTGGTGATCTGAAAGACTTCTCTCCACAAGAGGGACAGCAGAGAAGTGGCAATGAAGACAACGGGAGAGTGCCACTGAGCCCACGGCACAGGGGGACATAGCACCAGGGAGCAGGGGGGGAAGCAGCATTGGGGGCCAGTGGGCAGGCTGTCCTTATCAGCGGTGGTGGAGACCCTCCTGTAGGAGAGACATGGGGGACATGGTAACCCTGGATGCCACCAAATCCTGAGCACTGATGCTGGCAAGTGCCAGGCCAGGGGTCGCCAGGCTGACCCCAGGCAGCTCATGGAGCTGGAATTGCCCCTGCAAACCATCGGTGGGAGGGGAGAGGTTGGCAGAGGGGAGCTGTGAGCAGGCTGGGAGCCTGCTGTGGGGCACGCAGCCAGCCCCAGCCCACGCACATGTGTGCACCACGGTGCCATCCTTCCTCCCCTTCCCACCTCCACCCAATAACCAATCACCGCCGACTGCCTCCTCATCCTCATCCCTCTGGGGCAATGATGTCCTGCCTCACAGGACAAAGCCAGGTGGAACCTGCAAAGCCAAGTGGGCCAAGCACAGGCTGGACACTGGGAAGAGACATTGCTCCTCAGGGCCATAGGCAGCACAGTCATCACACCCTGGCCACTGCTTCAAAGCTATGAAAACTCTGGCACCCTGAGGAACAGTCTCAGCTCTTAAGTCTGTGTGCACCACAAGTTCTTTTCCCCAGCTCCTGCAAAAATGTTGGCATTGATAAATACAATAGATCAGTCTCTGGAATTGCCAGAAAATGTGTGAATCCTCTGTTTTTTCTTCTTATGCACTGTGTATTTATAGCTAACAAAAGGTTGATGAAGCAGAGGGGTGAAGCCACAACTCTCAGTAAGTCGGTTTTCTTCACCATACAGGAAATGTGCATTGTGGAAGAACCTCTAGAAGAATTCACATCAAGACATAGTCTGGAGTGGAAATTTTTATTCCTGGATCACAGGTTGGTGACAAGAAAAGCACTCCTGGTTGTGTTCAGTGCTTATCTGCTGCTGGTTTTGTAAGTGCAATTCTCTCAGTGTTACGTTTCACATCTAAATCACATGCACAGGAGGTCAACCACTGAAATTCCTACAAAAGATGATACTTACTATTTTACCCCGCATTTATTTTTATCAGTCTTTTAAAACAGAACTACTCTGTTTCTCAGGCCGAATTTGTGATTAGCTTGTTCTTGTTTCCTTTAAAATTATCAATGGACCAAAGCCTGTCACATGACAAAATCATCTAATTATTATACAGCTCCGGAAATCATTCTTTCTAAATCGAGCCATAGATACTGGGTGTGCAATTCCCAGTGAGTTACAGAGGGAAAGTCTGTGCTGGCCTGAGGCAACCATGCTGGCAAAGGTACAAAGCAACTGCCTCAAGCACGCCACGGACGAGCTCTGCAAGCATCCAGAGGGAAGCAGCACAGATGATCTCCTCTCCTACCCCCTAGTCCCAGCAGGTGATGGATTCTTATCACCTCGCCATGTGTCTCCCCTTGTGCAAGGACTGCAGGAGCCGCAGCAGAGCCCCTGACCAAAGAAAAGCCAGGGAATGGCTCCCTCACAGCAGGTTCTTGTGTGAAGATTCCTGAGAAGCTGACTTGCCTTCCACATTTTCCCTGGAAAGATGGGGTTGTCATGGCCTTGTCCTAAGGGGACGGTGCCCACTGGCACTGCCATGCCCAGCCGGGTATCCCAGGCACAAGGCAGGGGAAAGTCAGGAGCCAGTCCTCTGGGGTGGACAGCTGTACACCGATGAGCAAGAGCAGATCCGGGCTTTTTGTATGTCTATGTCAACGTGCAGAACTGCTTGTTTGGTGGTTTATGAATTCACTTATATTGTGCCTAACCGCAGAGCACCGCCGATTATAGGATACTTGCCTTTTGAAGTGCTGGGTACTTCTGGTTACGACTATTACCATATAGATGACCTAGAGCTGCTAGCAAGGTGCCATGAACACTGTAAGTATCGCACGGCCCAGGTTCCTGTGGAGTCACTGGGACATCTCCTTTCAGTGAAATGTAGTTTCAGTTAAAATTGGTTTAAACTTGGGAGGTGAGGTTTGACCCTTGCTTCACGCCTGTATGTCTTAGTGGAAGTGTAGCCGACTAGGGGCACTGAAGCTGATCGGCAGCTCAGCCAGACTTATTAAGCTCTGAAAAATACAGTTTTACCTTCTGTATCCCCAAAAGTAGTCAACAAGACCCACTGAGTGGATAAGGTTAGGCCCCCGCTCTATTAGTAAAGAATGTGCAGGAATAGTTCAAGCAATCTCAGAGGAGATACTATTTTGTAAAATTCTTGTGGATTATTTATGCTAATGTTGTTCACTGTGTATTTGGGACTACCTGTGATTATTTAAATATAGTTTATGAATATAGTCTATTAAGATTTAATTGAAAAAACTCTTTCACTAAGTAAAGAAAATGAGGCAACACTTTTCAAATATTTGCTTACAGAACTGGCTGGAACATCTCAGCTTACCACCTCTGGGTGGCCCAAAAATATTCTGTCAACATTACTTTTTATATGTTGACATTAAAATATAGAAAGGCTAAATATGTGCATGTTTGGGAACTCCTTGAAATCACTGGGGGGGGGAAAGCAGAGATTAATTTTGTCTGTGAATCTTTAAAACCTTTAATACACCCCAGTTTACTGCACTTCTTCTTCAGTCTGGGAATTTTCTTTCCATTTCAAATGATTTTTGTATTTGCACAATGTTATCTCCTATACTCACTTCATTCTGAATCTATCTGCGCACAATACTCATCTTTTCAAGCATTTTTATCCTGTACTTTTCTGCTATAGAACTTAAGATGATCACTCTTAGAAATTAATCCCAGATGCCTAATTAAGCAGTATGTGATCAGCACATAAACCAGGGTAAGATCTGTGTTTAAGTGGTAGCAGACATTAATGCATTAGTGTCCAAAGTTAAGGTTAATTGTACTGTGTAGGAATGTACCATTTGAAGTCTCAGAAAAAAAGATACCCGCTGATCTTAAAGATATTTTCTCTATCATAAGACTGACAGTACCACTCACTCGAGAGGTGCTTAGACTCCCGTCTGCCTTGGGAATCAATGGGGCTGTAGATACTTTTGTCACACTTTTCACATTTCATGTCCTTTTCACATCATAAATTGTGCTACAAGCTGTGTGTATTTTCTGCTGACAGTGATGCAGTTTGGCAAGGGGAAGTCGTGCTGCTATCGGTTTCTGACCAAAGGACAGCAGTGGATCTGGCTCCAGACCCATTACTATATCACCTACCACCAGTGGAACTCCAAGCCAGAGTTCATTGTGTGCACACACATGGTGGTAAGGTATGGAAAATCCTATCAACTGACGGGGACATAAAGGACAGTAAGATAAGGGCATCCTCATGACTGCCAAAATTTTCTCTCAGAAAAGTGATGTCTTTTATGCAACAGAAAGAAAACTGAACACTCTGAAGGATATATGTTCATTATAGAAAAATTATCAGATTAAACCTTAGTTAAGCTCTAATCCTCACATTGTGTTTTGAAGAGATGTGTGGGAGCTTTCCAGTGAAATCATGAAGTGTTTGCAGGCTGTGAACTTGACCTTTATAGATACTTCTTTAATGTATTTCTTGACTTCAAGAAGACAGGAACAGAGCAAAAACTGAAAATTAAAAGTCTCTCAAATGTTATTCAGTAGCATCTGACTTAAGTGATTTTTCAGCTGTTCGTTCAACCTGTAAAATGTCACAATAATTTGCTCTTCTATTTGCTTAAAGCACGTTTTATGATACATAACAGTACCATGTTGATACATACAATTATATTTTACATTCAGTTATGCAGATGTTCGGGTGGAGAGGAGACAGGAGATGGGCTTGGTAGAAGTGTCCTCCGAGGTTGTGTCCTCAGCACTAAAGGTACAAAGAGAAAAGTTTTTTTCATTAATATGTGTAGTAATCACAACTTGTTCCTATGTTAATATCACTGAAGACTCCAGCATTGTCTTTCTGGGTGGATTCCCTCAGCTTCAGAGTTCATCGCTCACTTGAATAATTTTAAAGTAAATTGGATAAGCTCATGAAAGGATAAACCTGGAGATCAGTAACAGCCACAAATTAAGTGGAACATGGGCAGGGGCAATGTGAGATATCTCCACCTTTCCTTGGCAGGGTACTACAGTTTAAAGATTCATTTGGACATGTTCTGGCAATCAGCCTTCTTGGCTACATCTCAGGGAGCTGCTGAGGGAAGAAAGAAAAGCTCCTCCTCGGTGCACGGCTGAGTGTCTCACAGAGGTTGCGGTTGCTGTCATATCCAATGGAACACAAAAGAAAGAGTCAGAAAAACATCTGAAGGCACAAAATTACTATGGCAGTAGCTTGCTATTTATTTCCATCTCAGCAATAGCTCTTTGTAAAATGCTTTAGTTAGATGCTATCTGGAAGGTACTGACACCTGTGCCCAGGTCTTCTGCTGGCCTACCTGGGATTGGTTCTGCTCAAGTCATTTTAGGCCAGCCAAAGAAGTGGGTGTGCAACCATTACTAGATGCATTTCAAAATGTTTTTACCCTGACAGATGCAATAGCTATTCCCTTTTTTGTTTGTCTGTTTTAGGACAGTGGCGCCAGCTTGGATCCTGAACAGCACTTTAATGCACTTGATATTGGTGCCTCAATCCTCAGCGCTAGTCGAACACCCTCAGTATCATCCAGGAGCTCACCAAAATCTTCCCACACACCCAAGTCGGACCCAGCATGTGAGTGGCTTTCCTGGATTACTGCATTACTTTTAATTTAGCCAGGTTACAGAACGTGTGCGTATATCCCACAGCTGCTAACTCAACAGTTATTTATGATGTATTGATAATATGTGTTTGTCACTGATAATGAAGTGCATAATCTGAAATGGTAACATACAAGAGGGAAGGTTCTAGTGCAACCACCTATACACTGGAAAATGAGTAGCGGGACAAGCTGTGAGACCTCTCAATCTGTTACAAGAATGAAGACTTCTGTCTTCAGCTTTGAGAGCATCAGTATGAGCAATACGACTAGACTTAGATGAGTAATAACAGCCTGTGGGTGATTCTCTTCTGGCCAAGATTCAGGATGCTCTAGCCTTGACTTGGGCACACCTTACACACTATTTCTGCTCCTTGGTCTGGAAGAAAAGCCAATAAGCTAACCTAAATTTACAGTTATTCAGCCCGTATGAAGGGAGTTCCAGCTGTTTTAGAACAGCTCTTGGGTCCTTTTGCTCTGTTCATTGGCGCACAGAATTGTAATCTGTCTCATTTACTTTTATCTTTGCCCAGGCCCTCCTTATCAGTTTAATTTTACTGCCACTGAAGTCAACAAGAACAGCCTTGACTCCTGCTGGAGTTTAGCCAGGCCATAATAATTTCTAGCTTGGTCTCATTGTTATTCCCCCTTCAAACGGGGATGATTTCAGCATGTGAGAACTCAGTGGTACTTTTCTTGCAGCTACACCAACAAAGCTGATTGCAGAGTCTAACACCCCCTTGCCAAGAACACCGAGCGCGCAGCAGGATTTATCCGTGCATAGACTCAGTCAACCTACTGCTCTTCAGGTAATTTTACAGAGTCGTCAAAACAGGCAGATGGTAAAAAGCACGTGCCACATACACAGCTTAGCAAATAAAAATGACTTGCACAAAACCCATGGCATTAGAAGAAACCTAAAATTTAAAGGGGCCAAACTTATAAATAAAATTTTGGTTTTGTTTTGTTTTGAACATAGGTTTCTTTGCCTTCTCAGCCTCCATGTGAGCTTCTCCCACAGCAGTTACTGCCTCAAGCAACTCTGCAAAATCAGCCTGCACCTCTGGCACAGGTTAGTTGGGGATTTGGAAGCGGAATAGGTCACTTGCCTATCTCCTGATATTTTCTCCTTTCATCTAGTAAATTAATAGCATCCAGATATTTTGGGGCTTTCAGGTTATCTCCTTAGTAGCTGGTATCTCCAAATTTACCAGCTCTCAAATGCTTAAAATATTGTGGGAAAGTAATCTGAATTGTACACTTGTGTGTTTAAACATGTAACTGCATACAGGTATTCAGAGCAGAAGCCCAGGTACATGTAGGTTCAGGTGCATACACACATCTATATCACAGGAGGACAAAAAACAGATGGAAAAAGAGTTTTCAACTTTGCTTCTACAAAATCAGGTCCCATCAAAATCAAGGTCACAATGAGAATAAAAAAAAACAAACTGAAAAACTAACAAAGACCCATTCCTCCTAAAAACACCTGTTTGTCTGTGCTGATGCAGAACTAACCAGCAGTAAGGGACATACCAGTTCAACAAAACCCATTTTGTAAGTGTGCCAGTAACAGGGAGGATGCTGATGGAGACAATTTCCTCAGTGAAATCTACTAACCCATATCTCAAAAGTGGGAGATGGCCCAAAAAGACACCTCAGTGTTTCATTTGTAGTGGATCTTCAAGAAACAAATTCGAGTACCATGTTCTCATCACATTGTTTCTCTCCTGTGGTCACGCTGTGGTGATACACCCCATCATCTGCTGATTTTAGAAACGACAGAGTAGTCCTGGACCTAGGCTGCTTCTACTGTTGGTATCCTGTACTCTGTACGCTGTCACAAGATCCCAGAATTTCTCATATAAAACACAGAAAGTCCTGAGGATCCCTGCTTTAAAACAACAAATTCTCATTTATCTTCTATGTTTAATATTCTTTCCACGACTCCACACCAGTGTGCAGTGAAGAAACAGCATATCAATTATCCGCTCTGAGCATTCATTTTCTTTTACAGATACTTCTCTCCGTTATTCATTAATGCACTTCCAAATATCATTTAGTTTATTTATTACAAACCCGCTTGTGTTTTGTTTGATTTTTTCTACCTCCCTTTCTTGTCCATCAAAGCTCTTTGTGAAAAGATGCTTTCTAGTTGTTTACCAAGAGCCTCGCTGCCTCACCCCTTCCCACTAAAATGCTCTTACTGGTGTGCCAGCTCCATTTCTTCTCCACCGAATTGCAGCACTGTCCAGTCGCACAGTCACTGGTTAAGCCTCTTTGGGCTGGCTAAATCTCGGTGAAAGGAAGAGGGCTGACTCAAGTCTGTCTACACAAGGAGCCCTCTTCTCAACTGGCAGCAGTCACTGCAATGCTCCTGGTGAAGCTCAAGATGGAGCTTCCCTTGATGAGGAGCAGGGAAATAGCACCAGGATGTTGCAGCTCAGGTTGCTTTGCTGAGTCTCATACCCCACAGTGATACTCCTGGGAAAGGTAGCAGTTCTCCACAGACTCGGGTGATTTTCATAAACTACTAATTGCTTTCTTCAATGGCTTACCTCCCACCTTAAAATAATAAACATGTCCTCCTACAGCAAGATAATCCATTATTTAAAAGACACGGCACTAAGACATGCAGCACTAAGCAAATGAGTGACGAAACCCAGGTGCTTCCCACCATGAACATTTCCTTGGTTTCCTACCTGACCATTTTGCAGCGTCTTAGCAACAGAATACAAGCTCACTGCTTTTAGAAATAGCACGGCCAGGTGCCCCACTGCCATCCCACGAGGAGGAGCTGCACAGGTTGCTCCCCACTGCCGTTCCGACGCTTGCCCTCAGCTGAAGGTGACCGATGGCAGGAGCCAAAAGGCAGTGTGCCGAGCCTGGCCACGCAGGGCCCCAGCACTCTGACGGGCGTCCTTGCAGCTAACATTCGGTTACGGGGCAGCAGCGGAGGGGGGGGGGGGGGGGAAGGATATTTTAAGCGTCCACGACCGCATCTGCAGCGAGCAGCTAGCTCCCGCCTCAGGCGCCATCTGCTTGAACTTTGATTAGTTTTATTTCGAGCAAAGGCTGCGATGGTTTTGCCTCCGCCGAAATGTGGTTTTAGCTTCTGCCTTGCTTGTCTGAATGAACAGACAGCACAGTACTAGGTGTTGCCTGAATGTAAATGGTTTACTTTAAACCAAGTGCTCCCTATTAGAATATTTGTTTGTTTGCCTTCCTCATTGTAATAAATTAAAATCCCCTACCACACAGCGGATGTTGATGACTGAATAATAATTAGCACTAATAATCCGTTTGGGATTGCACAGGTGTTATTCACAAGACAGAAAGAATGAACAAGTTGTTCGGTGAGCTGCAAAACTAATGAAACCCAGTTTCCCAAGGGCCGTGCCTTGCAAGGCTGGTGCAGGGACCCAGCCTTTCCTGCGGGAGGAAGGGATGAGTGGATTCCTCTCTCCTTTGCTTAACTAAAGCTTTAATGAAATTACAGCAATCTGGTATTTTTGAGGCTCTCACAACTCTGTTGCATGTCTCTAACATCGGCCAGAAGGATTGAAAGTTGGAAGGTAGGCAGAAAAGAAAGGTTTAAAGGAAACTGAGCTAAAAATTAAATAGGGTCTCTTTTCTTTACCCAGCTACTTATTGTCACGAAACTTGTAGGACCAGAATGTGTTTGAGGTGTTCATCTTTTTGTTCATCACATCTGAAATGGGGGACCATCCTGACAAACACAGAGGCCTCCCCTGGCTGCAGCCCCCCAGCACCTAGAGAGAGGGAGTAGCCCAGGCACCCTGGGGTGGCACCCAGTGGAAACACCCCTCCTCAGGCACCATCCAGCTGGTCTCCTTCAGATGTCCATGCTGGCAGGGAGGAGTCACAGCCCAGAAGTGCCAGTCCCTCTCCCTGGCCTGTACAGCCTGTCTGGACCATCAGCACCCATGCATCGAGCCCATCTCTACTAGAACATCTGCCCACACGATCCCAAAAGCATCACTTCATATTTTTTTTTTAAGAAAACAGGCTAAAATTGCTGCTGAGTGGTTTTTTGTCTGTGTTAACAAACCTTGATTAAACTGGTGCCATTATGGATACATCACAGGTTTAGTCTTCCATGTTTGACTGTATCTGGAAAGCTGGCACTTTTCTGTGTATAATATGTGCTTTTCTGAGGATCTTACAGATGTTTGTAAATACCTAAGTGGACAGATAGCAACTTCATCTGATGCCAATGGCAGAGTTAAAGCTGTGCAGTGCTTTCTGTGGAACATTTCGAGTTAAGCTCTTCTAATTTATTATACAATTACAGATTTCTCCCCTAATTAGTAAAGTAGTTAATGATCTTGAGATAAATACTCTGTGGTGCGGGTCCATTGCTGTTAGTGTCTCATTGTACAAAAACAACAGAAGCTCTGTAATCACAGGGGTCGTGGCTAGAGTTATCACAAATTTGGGAGTTAGAGTGGGAAAGGGAAAAAAGCAAAAATAGAAAGTTCCTTGTCTTCTTCTGTAATGGCTCTCACTCTAGTAGACCAGCTAATTGTTGTTGTTAAGTATATTAATACAAAAAGCACATAAAAAAGAGAACAAAAATGCAACATTAGATGAATATGCTAAATATAAGACAGTGCTGAAAAAAATTAAGGAATAATAATTTAAAATCAAGAGGAATATATTTTTGCATGCAACTTCACAAAGCAAGTTCAAATTCAAAACTAAGGCCTGGATATGGATTTTGTTTCTTATTGAAGTATAAAATTATTATAAAATTATCTGTTTTAAAATTCCTTACTCTTTTTAAATGAAGAAAACCAGGTTCCTTTCCCAAAGTATCTTCACGGAGTTTGCACGTTAATGAAAAGGCTGCCATCAGCAAGCCAGGCAGTTAAAATGAAGCTTTTGGCTACAATTGGTTTTAATCCCTTTCTGATCAGGACCCTTTTAAAGACTTGAGTAGTCCTCACTAACAGACTTCATATAGAGAGAACTAAGTTGCAAGACAGCTTTTTAAAAAATCCTGTACAGACCCAGGTTAAAGCAGGACTTAGCTGCATCTCATGTAAGCAAGCAATAGCATCATTCCACTTCTAAAATCAAGGTACGAGGGACTCCTCAGAAACACGGAGTCAGGCTACAACAAGCAGCACCAGACGCCCCTTTAAGTCACTTGTCCTTGTTCCCAAACATCAGAGGTTTCCACTTATGCATTCCTTGGGTTAATACTTTATACATGGACTAGAAAAAGAGAGACCCCACTCTGACTGCTCCCCTTTAACACCAATTAGAAGTAACACCAACTTCCCTTCGGGAGCTTTGACACCGTTTTTCTGCTCTGGGGGAGGACCGGGTTGCGGATGACAGCGCTGCTGTTTGAAGGCAAAAGCGCCGTGAATCACGGTGCTGGAGGCCAAGTGCTCGCATTATCTCCTTGGGCAGAGAGCACAAGCTGCGAGCACTAGCAGGTGCCTTTGCCATCAAAGTGGGCTCGGAGGGCTTCTGCCAGCAGTAACTGCACGGACCACCTTAGCAGCCCTCCTTCCCCCTCAGCAAGGTCGGCCATGAAACTCCCCTCCACCTTGACACCGCTTTTTGAGCAGTGACCTCCCAGATTGTGCGAGGAAAGCCGCCCTCCACCTGGTAAATAGAAATTAACCCTCTGAAGGTCTGTCCTTTCTCCCCCAAAGGCCATTTACACAGAGATGTCAGATTTGCTGGAGGGAATGGGAAGGTATTTCACATTCAGCTACTTTAAGGCAAAGCACTTAGTTGATACAAATCTGACCTCTCACGTTTATATTTCTCTAAGTAGCCAGAAATCTAATTTACCTGTCAGTGTTGCTAGCACCAGCGCTAGCACTCCTTAATTCCCTTTTTATTACAGTTTTTTTTTTTTCCTATTAAAAAGCCAGGAATGGTGTAAGCAGGTGCACCTCCATGGAGCAGGAAGGCTCCAGCAGCGTGCATCAGTTCACCCACTCACACAGAGCCACTGGAGCAACCACAGGAACAGGGCACCATTTTCAAGTCACAGCAAAATTACTATTCTTCGTTTGCCTGGACACTCACAGCACCATGTGTTTTCAGAGAGGTCTTGGATGCCTTGATTACAGAAAAGCTTACAGATTTTTTGAAGTGTGGGTTGTTTTTTTTCCAAAGACTGTTTTTTACTTTTGGAATATGAGCTCATGCAAAGCAACTATTCCAAAGCCTATTTAAAGTAATAATTAACTTTGGTGGACTTCAAATCATACCCAAGAATGCCAAATAAAACTAGAAATTTATTGCTATGTTAGTCTCCTCCACACTTCTTGAATGATTCCACTTTGTGCCAGGTATTGCTGCTACTGGAGATTGCACTTTCTTCCTGACCCTGATTAGTGATCTCCATTTTATATTACTGTTTAGAATAGCCCGTACCCCACTGAGCTGAGCTATTCATTTTACATCACATATAAAAATAACATAATGAATATTCCTTGTAGCTTGACTACTACTCAGCTGTAGAAATCTAGAAAATGTTTTATTGTGGTCAGCTGTTGCGTGATGCTATAGTAAGTCATCAGCAGAAAAAGCGATTGCAGAACTGCTGTTTTTCTGTGTGGAAAAAGGAAAATGTCAGTAAAACACGTCCGGAATATACAGTTATGCCATGCTAAGGGCTCCAAACTACAGGCTAATAAAAATAATGCACTCATTTGCCTTCCAATTAAGATGCTCTTGATATTTTAAAGTAGCATCCTCTCAAAAACAACCCTTCTGATAATTCCCTAATGGAACAGGGTCAGTTGTAAGCAGTTCATTCCGACTGAAATGATTTAATGTATGTGTGTAAAATTGAAAATAGACAAGACTTATCTCTGCCTAGCTGTTACCATATTACAAACTCGTCTTTTATTCCTTTGGCTGTGCTTTACAATCAAGAAACCAATAACTTCTTACAGAGCAATGTTCTGTTGAGGCCTGTTTGTATTATAATGACTGATTTTGCTGCCTTCTTTTTCAGTTCTCGGCACAGTTCAGCATGTTCCAGACCATCAAGGACCAGCTAGAGCAGCGGACCCGGATTCTGCAGGCCAACATCCGGTGGCAGCAGGAGGAGCTCCAGAAGATACAGGAGCAGCTCTGCCTGGTGCAGGACTCCAGCGTACAGGTGCGTGGCTGCTGGGAAGGGCAGAGCGAAGCATCCTCTCACATGTGGCTGTTGATAGGGTTGGCCGTTTAAAATTAGCTCCAGGGTCCAGGAAATCTGGACATGTGGAAACCAGATCACCTGAATGAGGATGTTGCCTTCTGAAAATTAAAGTTGCCTCTTCAGTAACTCATGTCAAGAAAGATTTAAGAGCTTTCTGGAAGAAGAAAAGGAAGAAATATCTCAGCCTTAGGAGGAGGAGAAGAATTTGGGTCATTTATAGTAGCGTTTTAATACTTTATCTACTGAGTCTTCAGACGGAGCAGCTGTAGTAGAAAAACGTTCAAGTTCAGACTTGCCAATGATTATGTCTCTTTAGTTCATTATCTTCTATCCAGTCACTACTTGCTTCATGTTGGCATCACTCGTGCTCAGTATCTTGTCCATCCAGCTCTTCCTTAGCCAACAGCCCTCCTTCAGGCAGTGCTCACTTCTTTTCATTTGCTCCCTGTTTTCCTGACCCTACCCCAGCCCAGATACAGAACACAAGAGATTAATTTCCTTCTCATGTTAAAACCCAAACCTCTGCTGATGTTCATTTGTTCACATCTGGGGGGTGTCTGAATTTGTTCTTCACTGGACCAGCTTAAGCCTTTAGGGTGAAGCCGACTGAGCCTGCTCTTGTTCTGCCTTTAATACCTCCTACACAGAGCTAGAATTCACTAAGTATGGTATCTGCTTTTAATTCACCAAGTACAGTATCTGCTTTGTACTACCCCTTATGTCTACTAAAGCTCAGAAATAATAGCAAGTACAGTTCAGTACCTCACAGGTTTCACTTAATGACAAATAGACAAATCATCATCCAGTTTTATGGAAGTTTTCTAAATGCGGGGCGATGACTGCTATGTTCCTCATAATTTAACTGTAAGTGCCAGGTTAAATGACCCTTGCTAGAAATGTTGCATTGGGGACCCACTGTGAGTATTGTACTAACAAGACTTTTTAGAAGACAAGCTCTGTCACAGAAACAAATGTCTCAAAGAATATTTTAAGCACAGGATGAAAACCTGGGACCTGCTGAAGTCAGAGGGCATTTTGCTCCCAACATCCACAGAAATAGACTCTCACCCATCATCAGCATCTGTGAAACGCAGTTTCATATATTAAAACAAATTATAGAATCATAGAATCATTAGATTGGAA